ACAGTTGAATTGGCTGCGAAACAATTGACAATCTCAGAAAAGTTGGGCGATAATTTATTCAAAGGATTCAAATAAGCTCATATGGTCTGTTGATAATAAGTCAATTCCGAAATTCGAACTCACGTCCGGTAATTCAGCACTATACTTGATTATTTGGCTACTGGGTTTAAAATGCGCAATGTACAGTCGCGGAAATCTGCAATGTTTCACTTTAGGAAGAATTACCTTGTTCATCGCAACGACACAAACTCTGTCTATAATGAAAATAAACTAGCCGTATACTATTATAATATAATCTGTGTTACATTAGTTTTTATTCCGTGTGTCGTTTTGAAATGTTTAAACGATGGTATCTTTTAAGTTGGGACACCGCAAGTTACCCCGACTGTAGGTATTTGATACAAATATACTCAGTTGTATCAGAACCGTGTACCGATTGGGCCGTTATACAAAAAAAGAATTCAATAACAGTTTAACTTATGACTATATGTTTTATAATAGAAACCGGTTCAGTAGTGAAAGATATGATCGGTATTGTGAATGGAAAATTTTATATCTAAATCATACAGCATGTAATATGATTACATTTTAATGGAATCTATAAACGTTACGCAATAGACACACGTAACTATATCGTGATACATTTATAACTATTCAATGTTACTAAGGTAACAAATGAGTTCATGTTCATTTAATACGTGCATTTAACCCAAATATTTCATAAAACATCATAAAACAGCTGTAGTTCTACTAATAAACGATTTAAATTATCACTTTATTTTTTGTATTTGACTAGATGTTGCTCGCGACTTAAAAAAATTAAAAAAAAAGCATAGCCTATGTTACTCATCGTTAAGGTATCTTTCTAATGGTGAAAATTTTGAAATCGGCCAAGTAGTTTTTGAGTTATTTCAATATATACAAAAATACAAATCTTTCCTCTTTATAATATTAGGATACATATGGTTTACGAAAATTTCTTAGTCAGTTTCCTTGAAATTTCCTTTAGCTGTTGACCGAATTTGAACATGGAAACAAAGTTACAAGTCGATGTTTATGCTTGATATTTTATACCCAAAAGGAATGTGTATTTATTTCGTAACATATAATATACTTTTATCACCTTAAATGTAGTTCACATTAGTTGTTTTCGATTAAATATAAAGTGTGAAGGGCTGCGATACTGCCGCTGTGACGCACACAAGGGTTATCGCATGCTGGGGTCGGGATGAACCGCGGAAAAGATAGCTCACAATTACATGCAAATAAACAAAAACACATCCAATTTATACTTACAGAGTTTTCTTACATATGGTGCAATCACAAAACTATCATATCCCAAGTTTAGTTTTATAACTTAAAATACTTATGTAAGGTATTTTACTTGATTTTTTTACTAACGTAGAGGATTACACTAAGTTGACAATTGTACCGAAGATAATAGCCGGGAAATAGACATAGAATAAATAGTCGAGGCTGTTTTGTTGTTACAATGTCTGTAAAATGTATTATAATCAATGTAATTCTGCAGGTCAGAAGCAGATCCTCCATGGAGTTCACGGTCGACTGCGTCCCCGGCAGCTGATAGCTATCATGGGCCCCTCTGGTGCTGGCAAGTCTACATTGCTCGATGTACTCTCCGGATACCGCATCAGTGGGGTTGGCGGAGCAGTGTTTGTTAATGGAAGGGGACGTGTCCTTAGTGAGTACAACTAAAATAACATATAACGCTATTGCAATCCAGAAGGTAAAGAGGGTCTTTTTCCATTTTGTCGTAATCCTTGGATAACTTGGATCCTATCCTTGGATAGTGAAGTAAATTTAACCTTACCTAAGAAACAAAAGAGACTTTTAGAGATTTAATTAAAAAGAAGCGATAGAACCGACGTCATCGATAAATCGCAAATAATAGGCTTGAATATTGCAGCAAGATTGCTTTGATAAAAAAACTTATTATTCCACTGTCTTTTACAAATATGACATCTTTTCTAGAGAGGTTTAAGCGCATGTCGTGCTACATACAGCAGGACGACCGGCTGCAAGGTCTGCTCACTGTGGGCGAAAACATGATGCTCGCCGCTGACCTCAAGCTGCCCACGAAATTAGACAAATACGAAAAAGGGGAAGTGGTAAGTTAGAATTACATTAAAATCTAGAGCTGTATTTTTTCTCAGATTTACTCTCTGACTTTTAAGAGGATTTAATAAAAATGAATTTTGGGTTGAGCCTTCACGTATATTATTTTACCACCAGGCTATTTTCATAAAAATTGGCGTTTCATTTGACTAAACTATCACTGTTTTCTGTTTCTAGATCGAAGATATCCTAACTAATCTTGGTTTGTACGAGCACATGAACACTAGCGCCGCGCAGCTGTCCGGCGGTCAAAGGAAGCGGCTCTCTATTGCACTAGAGCTCATCAACAACCCTCTCATCATGTTCCTGGATGAACCCACTACGTAAGTATGCTGTCGATAAGGAAAAGAGAACAAAATTTTAAGCAATCATTACTGGATACTCTAATTCAGATTCTAACTCTTAAAGAATATCGTGTAATAGTATGAATATGTCTACTTAATTTTGGGTAAAATACATTACAGAGGTCTGGACAGTTCCTCATGCTCCAACGTAGTGGAACTATGCCGTAGTTTGGCACATCAGGGGCGGACAATAGTGTGCACGGTGCATCAGCCGTCGGCATCGCTGTTCGCACTCTTCGACCACGTGTACATGCTGGCAGCGGGCAACTGCCTCTACCAGGGCACCACCGCAAACCTTGTCCCGTATCTTCAACAAGCCGGCATACCTTGCCCTATGTATCATAACCCTGCTGATTACAGTAAGTACACAAAAATGCTTTGAGCAAGATTCCTTGAACTATTTATCCAGTCTTTTGAATTTTGAATAGTTCAAGTTTCTTGGTTTCATCATAGTGGCAGTGCCCGCTTTAACATCTTAGCACGAATGGGCCCTCACAACCCCAGTAATACCACGACCATACAGAAGACAGGCGTGAAATCGAAGCAATTCCGTGTTTCGTCTGGTAAGTGTGGTGCCGGAGGCCTAATTTAAGTCCCTTTCTCTTAACCGCCCTTTTCTTATAAGGAGAAGT